TCACGGCAGATGCCCACCGGGCGGGAAGAAGGAGCACACAGCAGCGGGGAGAGGCGGGCAGGAAAAATGCGAAGGGAGCTTGTTATTCTGGGGGCAGTGTTTCAAGTGCAATCGCTCAGGTTAACAAATGCAGCGTGGAGAGCAGAACAAACATCAGATGGATTTAGTGACTGTCTGAACTGCATAAAGCAGAGCTAAGCTAACCCAGTGCAGAGATGTAAGCAGAGCATGCAGACAGCGCCACATGGATTGGTCAAGAGAAGGTGAGAGAAAAGTCCTTTTGGGCCATCAGGTTCGTTTTCCCATAAGTCCAAGAGAGGGATGGTAGCAGGGAGGAAACTGATGCCACCTCTCAGCATAGACAGGCCTGATTCATCCCTGCACTACTCCATTTTCATTGCAGTGTAACTCGACTGACATCGTATGGGCTACACCAGCATACAACTGGAGTGGCACCATGGTGAACCAGGCTCCAAGTGTAGACAGTGTGTACGTTCACACACATCTCAGGTACTTATATGGACCCATCACTGCAGTATTTTAGCATCTCGCAACACCCCCGTGGGGCACGGCAGGGCTGTTAGCCCCATTTTACAGATGGGGAACTGAGGCACAGAGAGGCTAAGTGACTTCCCATGGTCTCAAAGGGAGGCTGTGGCAGAACAAGGAACGGAACCTGGGTCGCCCAAGTCACAGGGTAGGACTCTAACCACTCAGCCATCCTTCCTGGGTGTGCGCACACACATGTGCCCTTGCGGTGGGTGCCTAGGATGAAGATTTACAGCTCTGACACACATCAGAGGACCTGGGATTGACTGGAGTGTACAGACACGGGGAGCAGTCCACTGGGGACAAGACGGTTGAGGGCATCGTGTCTGCCGACAGCTCAAGGGCTCGAGGTGGGATTGTATTTGGGGAAGTGGAGCTCAGAGAGTGCTTCCTGGAAAGAAGAGCAGAGCATTAGTCACTGGGGAGCTGGAGGGAGCTCTCGGCCCTTTGCAGCAGCCACTTGTTAAAACCCTGCTGCCCTTTGGAAGGGAGAGTGAGGGGTTTCTCTGCTTCTCACGCCGTTCACTGCTCTGTGGATGCTGCTGTCCAGCCAGATGGCCCCTTGAGCTCCTTGCTTTTGTGTTGCCTCCCTTTCTCTTCCTCTCTGTCTGTCTGTGGTGAACCTCAGCTGTAGGGGTTCATCCCACCTCCTGGCAGCCTCCAGCCTGCTAATCAGCATCTTTCCACAGCCCCTCTGAGGTTTCTCTGCCAGGGTGGACTTAACAGCCACAGCTGCGCCCCTTCAGCTCTCTCAGCAAGCAGCTCCAATTTCACAGCCATACACTCTGCTTTAGAGAGAGCAAGGCTGCCTCTTTTATAGCCCAGCAGGTACCAGTTCCAGTCACATGCTCTCCAAATCCTGGCCTTAAAGGGACGGAGACCTGTAACTGACAAGCTAGTGGTGCTTGGCCTTTAAAGGTTCAGCTTGCTCTGTTGTGGGGCCTGATTCTCAGAGGATGGTGCTCAGCTCTTTCTAGGGTGACCAGATGTCCCGATTTTATAGGGACAGTCCCGATTTTGGGGTCTTTTTCTTATATAGGCTCCTATTACCCCCCACCCCGTCCCGATTTTTCACACTTGCTGTCTGGTTGCCCTAGGTCTTTCAGACAATTGGACCCTCGCTGGCTGGGCACCCAAAGTCACTTGTCACTTCTGAAAATATTGGCCACCATGTTCTGAGCCCCATAAAAAGCAGCTCACAGACAAAAACAGTGAGATAATAAATTAATCATTGCTCTGCTAGAGGGCATCTTGGCTGGAATTTTTTTATTACTATGAGTTCAATATAATTAGAAGTGTCTCTGTCTAGTCAATAGATCTGTCTCTTATGTCAGTATCTATCCATCTGTCTATTCACACACTTATGCGCACACCCTATGCACACATATTCCCATGTGGATGTATCATTCTGGATTAAGCATCTACCCTGATCTACCTGGTTCTGAGGATCTTTTCCTAGCCCTAGGAATGTGTTGCTCTGGAAATCTATGTACACGTGGTTAACATATTGGGATGCACTTTTGTTTATTTTTAATTCCGCTTTTAAGGCCCCAGTTATGGATGCATCCTGGGGAACAACAGATTCTAGGCTCCTGGAAAGCGTTGTGAGGTCTGACAAAGTACAAAGATGGAATTGGAGAAATGAGTGAGTGGCTGCATTGTATGTTCAGGCAGCATACCACAAAATTCAATGCACACGTCTTTAAACAATACTGTCGTGCTCAGAGATGCATCAATTCTAAGGCCAGAAGGGACTATTGTGATCATCTAGTCTGAGCTCCTGTGTCACAGAGGCCTGAGAACTGCCCCGGCAGAATTCCTCACCTGACAAAAACAGAGACTGGATCCCCGTATCCATGGAACAGGTACAAGACAGCGAATGACAGCGCAAACCTCCCACACAATGCCCCAGCAATGTGCCCCAGCCGCGACCTTCAGAGATTGCTTCTAGGGGTGAGAGGAAAGTTCAGTCTCCGTTCCTAGTCAGTCCTTGGCCTCTCTGCTAAGGCTATTTACAAGGATGCCATTTAGTTCCCGCTGCAGTGTGGACACTTTTCTACACTGGGCTGAGACCTGCCGACTCAGTTAACAGAACTGGGTGCATCCCAGTCAAATCAAAAAGTGTGACAAAGCAGCTAAAATCCACACACACACCCCAAAAAACCCCATTACCAATAGGGTAATTTTTAAAAAAAAAGCAACGTTAAAGCTTACTCCGAGGTGGATAATGAAGATAAAGGTAATCCATACAGTTAATCTTATGAACAGTAGTGATAATGGGCCAAATGTATCCATGGTGGAACTGTGTCAGCTACAATAGAATCATTGCTCCTGAGATAAATGGGGTCCAGTATTTTAGTCTATTCTAGCTAGTTCACCACACTCATCAGCATGGGGTCAGTCTAAGAACTGTATGTATTGTTATGGCTGAGATCCTGAAGCTGCCTGAGAGATAGCACTGCATTACAATGCCTGGGCATTGGGGTCTACATTCCCTAGGTGGCTTTGAATATCCTCAGGCCCCATATCATTTTGTACTTATGCCCACAACACAATCTCTAGGTACAGGCACTAAAACTAAAATAACACATCGTTTAGGAACAAATAAACTAAAACCACTCTCATGCCAGCAGGTCACCACAAGGATTGGGGAATGGAAGGGTTAACATCTGACATGTCTGGAATATGTCATGTGCTGTATGAAAGAAGCAGGTAGGAGAAATGTGCCAAGGAAGGCGCACTGGGTGTGTGTGTGTGTGTGTCTCAGAATCTCAGACTGTTCTAGGGCCGGGGCATGGTCCTGCTGCTCTGCAGGGTGTTATCTGCCCATCTTTTCATCTGCTGTGTATTTCTACCTGCCTACTGTATGTTCCACTCCACGCATCCGATGAAGTGGGTTATATCCCACCAAAGCTGATGCCCAAATAAATGTGTCAGTCTCCAAGGTGTTACAAGGACTCCTCCTTGTTCTTGCTGATACAGACTAACACGGCGACCCCTCTGAAACCTATGAGCAATTTGCTTTATCATTGCACAGATCGGAACCTGTAGGGCCTAATCCCAGAGTCCATTGACATACATTGACTT